TATATATATTAATTCTACAAAAAAATATATCAACAAGATTATTTTAATTGAAAATAATTTTGTCAATTTATATAACATTTTTAATGAAACATTTCTTACATCATGGTTGTCTTAATCAAATTTTACTTGTTTTCAGTCAATATTGTTCAATTAACAAGTTCAATTATTTTCAATTAAAATAATGCTGTTGTAACATTTTTTTTTCAGTGTATTATCAGGTAAATTTTATTGAAGTTTGATTTTTCAATCTTTTCTATATGCCAGAAATTCACTATGTATGGATACCTTATCTTATTTAAATGCGTCAGTTCAATTCATTGCATTTATGACATGTGCATTCTACGGTAACGTTATTGCGTTCCAACGTTAATGATAACGGCGCAATATTCTCGAATGCTCAACGACACGACAGACTATACATATTAATACTAAAGTACCCCGCCATCGCAAAAGTGAAGTGTCTATTGTCTCAATATCTTATTGAAAGCAACATAATATCTCTTAAGAGGCTGGGTTTCAACATGCGGGCAGATGAACCTTTCACGTTGTATCTATAACGCGTACGCACCCGTATGCCAAACGTAACATCGTTGATGGCTCTGAGAAGAAGATTATGAATCATCGTTGATTTTGGATGGATCGCAAGTAGATTTTAACATCCTCTAGCAATTAGGTTCAAATTAATTTCAACAGATACGCTAAACATTCATAGGTCAACATTAAGAATTGTACCTAATATTATTCAAAAAGTTTTTCCTAGAATATCTTATGAAAACTTCGAAATGTAGTTTGTTAATTTCATTAAATTACTCCTATCTTCATATTTTTTGAAAAATTATACGTAAAATTATAACTTATCAAATCTATCTATTTGAATTTATTTATTTTCCTCTTTTTTTTTTATTATTGCTCCAATATGAATTCAATGCAACTAATAAATCAAGAAAATGTGTGAATCGAAGTTTCTAACTAGTTTTACTTAATCAGGATTTTTGAGCACACAATTACTGAATAGTTCTTGCCCACTAAATCTAAAATAGTAAAAACTGATCAGTTTCTGACCAATTTTTCTCTGACATTTTTCTACTTGAAAAACGTTTTAAATAGATGTGCAAATATATGTCAGAAGTGATCACAAAAGTCGGTTAATTTCACAGAAATTTTCAAAAATTTTTGTCCGTACTCGATGACTCGTTTGATGCAACTTAACTTTTGAATCTTGTCTGTATTCCGTGAACGATAAACATCGATATTTTAGATATATAACCTTGTAGAAAAGATAGAACCTTCGCTCTTTTATCAAAGAGCATCGCTCCTGTTTCGGATCAGTCAAGCGTCGTGACTTCGTGTCACTTCTTACGAAGCGCTCTCTCTCTCTCTCTTTGTCATCGTTCGTCGTCTTAGCAAACGAAAATGGTAAGAAAAAGGAAAGAAACATGAAAAGGCTAAAAAAAGAAGAAAGAAAAAGAGACAGAAATGGTAAGATGAAAGAAGACAAATCGCGACGTTGCCGTGCCATGGTCTGAGATCCGAGAAATTCTGCAAAAACCTTCGGTCATCTGATGCAAGCTATCGTATTCCTCTTTTTCCTTCTTTTAGACAATTTTACATTATTTCAAATCATTTTTATTGCCGACGATAGATAAAAGACGCTTCCAATAGGATGAATACAATATTTATGTAAGTATACATAAAGTCATAAAATGAACTACTAGGTCTAGACTATTAGTCTAGACCTTAGTAATTCGTTTTATGGCATGACTTTAATTAACTAAAATGAACTTTTAAGATCTAGAAAAGATCAAAGAAAATTAATTTAAACTCAACTCAACTGATTGGGTTGATCTATAAAATATATCAAATTTGTATGTATAGGAGAGATAAAACAGGTCTTTTGCTAAAGATTTCAAATTATCGTCGACACGATTTACATTCCTATTATGATTTATGTCACGTGGCCTCTCGAATCTAAGAGCAAAAAGTTTTTCTTGTCCAACTGGTCTTTAGCTACATTCTAAATTGACCCTTTGTGCAATGATAACCTCGCACAGCAAGCGACATCATATTGCTTGCCTTATTATCGAAGTCGATTTCATTGTTATTTCGCGATAAGGCTATTTCAGCGTACAATTCTTTCCCATTTCGTAGTCATAAGGCTCGCATAAATCTTTTCGCGAAGTAACATAAACATGACACACGTCAGTCAAGAAAAAAAGAAATAAAGTTTTTTTTTTCAAGACTCGACGACAATTAAACATTTTCTTATTTTTATCATGAGATTAATACAATAAACATTAAAAAAAAACAATTTTAACGATGGTTATTTATAATACTCATCGATTTCTCAATAATTTTATAATTAGCATCAGTGAAAAAAACAGCTTGCCGAAATTAAATCGTTTTAATTTTCACTTTTCATATTTTCGTAATATTTTTTCCATATATCTGAACTACGATTACTATTTTCTTATTAATATAAAAGAAATGTAATTAAATAAAAATTCTTTTGGAATTACAAATTAGATATCAAATCGGACACTAGCGAAGTAATAAATCTAATAAAAGCATAATGTAAATTTTTCTCTATCCTTTATACATTTTCTGGATATTTTTTCTACATATTATATACTGTAAAAAATAAAATGTTAATTGTAACTTGAAGATCGTTAATTTTAACATTTTTGCATGTCTCAGAAAGTCCACTATACGACTGTAAATTAAAATTAACATTTTATTTTTTATATTATAATTACATATAATCACAAATATTTAAAAATAAAAAAAAAGAAGATACTTTTATTTTTAGACTCTCGATGGGACAAAGTACACGATATGGAAACCTTCCAAATTCTACGAGAGTTCACTAAATCATAAAACCATCCGCGCGATATACTCTGACATGCTCCAAAAAAAAAAAAGGTTTCTTTTACACCTTTTGCGGAATGAATCAGCTTCATACGACGTTCGTGCAACGATGTACGAGAAGCCGCATAAATAAGCTCTAGCTCTAATCGGAGCACTCAAGTTAAAACTACCCGGCCGCCAGCGGTTGAGGAATTTCGCTCTTTATGATCCATTCATAAAGCCGGAGTCGAACGGGCGCGAAGATAAACGCGTCATCGACGCAGCTCTGAAACGTTCGTCAATGACACATAGCCGTGGCGTCGACTATGAGAGATCTCGACTGATCCCGGTTATTTGGACGATCGCGATTACTTAAGGCGCTACAAAAATTGTCTCTACGCACCTGTCTCGCCGCTAGCTGGTGTCCCGTGAATTTATCGTTGATAACTTCCAGCCGGTGGTAGGATCGCACACGGGAAACACCATGCAAAAACGCGACGCAAAGCGGGAATCACGTGTACGACGACGGTGAGGCGCACGCACATCGGCAGCAGCACTAACGCAACGACGCGATGTACACCGTGTACAGTGTACCAGCCCGGTGTATACACAATATACAGATTACAGGAGTATTATGGCCGCGTTCCTGACGTTCATGAATGAAACTAAGCGCGCTACTAACTTGGCGTCGTAATTTCGGCCGGCAGCCAACGGCTTGCGAATGATCATACGTATCGCAGCGTCACGTGACTCGGCAAGCTCCGTCGAGCTTCGGCAAATTCCGCCAAGCCTCGGCAAATGGCCGCTGCGCCGGCGCGGTCATTACGAAGATCTACGAACGCGTAGACGAATCGCGTAAAAATTAAACGCTAACAGATCTCTGCCATCTATTATTAAAAGCATAAATTTCTTTATGATATTTGAATAATGTAATTAGACTAAAGCTTCGTGAATTTATTTTGAATCGGAAATGTATTTGGTATTTATAGCACTCTTTTATATAGACGTCGGTAAACTAATTAATTGGAGCACCGAGATATTAAAGATAATAATAAGTTTGCTATTTTAAATGATGTCTTGAGATGCTAGTGATTATTAGAAACCAAGGAAGTTGACGTGTCTATTAAAGATTGATAATTATATAAAAATCCATGTGTCTATTGAAATTCAATTGATTAACTCGTAACAAAATATTAATTTTATGATGTAATTATTCTAAACAGGCATATTTACATGATGTAAATTTGATTTTTATTTAAAATTTGTACTTTTATTTTTATCATTTGCGTTTAATGATATATGCACGAATAATAACAGAGAAAAATGTAATTTTATTATATTATATTATATATATATGTAAAATGTATATAATACGAAATATGTATATAAAATATATACAATATTTTTGCAACGTTATGTATGCTTATATATGAAAAGCATCTGTAATATAATAATAATGATTTAAATTATCTGATATATCATATGTAATTGATTTTTTAAATATTTAAATAGATCAAAAAATTTACATCGTCAGTCGATAAAATCAATTGAAAACTACAGAAAATTGGAAAATATTAACAATGACCGGCCGATCTCCGTGAAAATTAATGAATATAGATGGTATGAACTTAAAGAAGTATTATGAGCCTTCAGTAGAAAGAAGGAAATTTGTCTTGTAGCCATCTTGAAAGACAAACTGTTTTTTTTAGGTAAATTTCTTACACTATTAAGTATGCACGCGCACTTTTTTTTTTCTTTCCACGTTAAAGAAAAAAAAAAATGAAAAGATAAATAAAACAAAAAGTTCAGTTTTAAAAAAGGCCTAAAAGCGCTTACATGGGAGCATCAAACATTTTTCTTATATTTATAATATTAAAAAAACACATATTATAATTTAGTCTAAATTATAGTATAAATTTTTTCTTATATCTTTATTATCTTTGGTACTTTTCTTTTATATGACGTACGTTTTGAGATAATTATATTGTTTCAGACGTGAAAGATAATTCATTGAAATGTAAACTGGGATATAAAGCAAATAGTATTAAGTGTTTTTGTAGTATAAGCGTTTTATTGTTAATTTTATTATTTTTAATAAATTTTTAATAGACATTCTTATTTTTTTAAAAGTAGCGTAAAACAGATTTCTTATTAAACGGTTAAAGCAATAAAATCAAGATTAAAAATAAAGTAGGAAATTCAGACTCGTGCACAATAAATTTCTACGCTTAATAATATACTCCTATGAAATGGCACCTTAATATGATACTAGAAAGTGAGAGAAAAAGAGAAAAAAGAAACAGATAGAGAAATAGAGTGTTATCTCTCAAAATGGCGAAAAGCTTCATATTTTTGGAACTCATGCTCCATTTTTTAAGTTCATAATACGTCAACTAATTTTAGCCATGCAATTTTAGACATGAGATATAACATGATATACAAACAGTTTGAATAATAACAGTTTGAATAATAACAGTTTGAATAATTATGAAAAATATTATATAACATAAGAAATAAATGAGAAAATATAAGAAATAATACTTTTTCGTAAGTCGAATAATATTATACATATTTATTTAGTCGAATCTAAAATTTAGCAATTCAAAAATATTTAAGTCACAAATGGCATAATGTTGCATGATATAATTATATCAACGTGTATAATATATACACAACAAATATATATATCTATGCACACGCACACACACACACACACACACACATACACACACACACATTATATATGCAATAGCCTTGCGCAAGCAGATATCACAATCCTTGTGACTCAGAGGATTTTGTATTTTGTCAGATGACATGGAGTACGACTTGTTAGATCAACGTACATACGTATAATGACGTTTGATGAGCCACGATGAACATCCTCAATGCAAAAGATATCTGGAATGCCTTCCTTATACACGAGATTTGTTCTCAAACCGTCGCAACAGCAAGAAACATGATTCGAATGTAACAACTGGATGCAACCGTCACGACGCCTTCCATCAGTTCATCACTGAAACAACTGAAATCTCATCAAGGCGCCAAATTGTGATTTTCAAAACTGTCAGAGGAAGCGAACCAATCACAGGCCCGATCGTTCGAAGTTACACTTTCTACACTTGACGTGAGGCAAGTGTAGTACGTTTAATCTTCGGAGAAAGAAAAATATCAATCGCAGAGCATAAAAGTTTTAGTACGCGAGAAAAGATTGTTAAAAGTATTTCTGTGATTTGTTGCCTTACTTATTTTCTTAATTTCATAAATAAACACGCGAATGCTGTCGTAATATATCAAATTTGTAGGCTTTCTATCGACAGAGTAAACTCTAATCTGCCAATCAGGAGACGAGTTCTTGATAAGGTAGAGCTATATAAAACTATTAAAAAAGGCGGGTTTCGATCAGCTGCGACAGCATGCAATAGGCAGACGTGTGGTGACAGTTTATTTATTGCTTTGAAAATTTTCTCAATGTGATTATTTGATTATTAATATTTATCTAATAGACATCGAAAAAATATCACTTCGTTCGATATCTTCGAAATGGAAACTTTGCAAAATACCGGAGCTTTCCGTCCACCTAAGGCGATCAACAAAAGAAATCCGAATCAAGAAGCCAGTGTCTCGGGGTATGATAATCTTGATACTTGTTCTTGATTTTATCACGATATTTCTTATAAATTTTTAATATTTCAGGGAAAATGCATTGGGAAAATTGCTCGAGATCAAGGAAGATATCAGAATTGATACTGTATACGGATTTCGTCGAGTCACTGACTCGAGAGAGAGGATAGGATTTTTGCTTAATATGCACGCGGTAAGGAAGATTGAAAGAAATGATAGCATAATTAATATACAAGATTCTGTATTTGTGTAGACGGAGATCGTAGAGGATGATAAGCATATGTTGAGTGGTGTGGATTATTACTTCATTGAGGAAGACTCTACCAGGTTTAAAGTGTCATTGCCATTTTCACCATATTTTTATATTTTATGTCGTAAAGATACATTTGAAGAAGTGTCGACATTTTTATTTAAAAAGTACACAGGAATTTTGACAAAAATTGAGACTATTTATAAAGAAGATCTTGATTTGGTAAAATGTGCTTCTAATCAATATTAATTAAATACTAATATGTTTTTATAATTGATTCAGTGTATTTTTTCTTTTTTATTATTTTTATTTATCTTTTTGTTCTCTTATTACAGCCTAATCACTTGACTGGTTTGAAACAAAAATACTTGAAACTTTCTTTCGCAAATATTATTGATTTAACGAAAGTTAAACGCGACATTATGCGCTTTGTTAGAGTTAACAAAGAGCGAGAGAAAAGTAATACTTACTACACAGATATGCTAGCGACTACTTTACAACCAAACGAACAACAGGACAGTGGTAAACAAATTTTAGACCACATGGATAATATTCTCGATATTAGGTAATTGTATACACTTCTTTTTTAGTTCTTTCTTTTTTTCATTAATATTTATTTCTTTATTACTTCTTAATTTCTCTCTTTAGTTATTTACTACTTCTTGATTGATACTGATATTATATATTGATATGATTGTTTAGGGAATATGACATACCTCATCATGTCCGAGTATCTATAGATGCTAATATCTTCTGTGGAATTTGGTATTCTGTAAAGAGCAGAGGAAGTGAGCCACCTGTAATCACGCGAAAGGAGGACATGATTGAACCACCTGAATCTATTGTATTAGCATATGATATTGAAACTACAAAGCTGCCATTGAAGTTTCCAGATGCCAGTATCGATCAGATTATGATGATATCATATATGATAGATGGACAGGTAATAATTTCATTTTAGAAAATAAATAATACTTATTATTTAGCTTTTCAAATTATTAGATAAATAATTTCTGTTCTATTTTTTTAAAGAGAGTTTATTACATTTTTTCTTAGGGATACTTAATAACGAATAGAGAACTAATCTCTGCGGACATACAAGATTTTGAATATACACCAAAACCGGAATTTGAAGGTCCCTTTACAATATTCAATGAGCCTAATGAGAAAGCAGCTATAACAAAATTTTTCGACCATATTAATGAAATAAGACCGCATATATTTGTAACGTACAATGGTGATTTTTTCGACTGGCCATTTATTGAAGCTCGAGCTGCTGTGCATAACATGGATATGAAAGAGAAAATTGGCTTCTATAAAAATCGCGAAGGTGTTTACATCAGTAGAGCTGCTATGCATATGGATTGTTTATGGTAAATATTTTGTGAAATTTTATGAAGTATTGCAAATATGTTCTTATCACAAAATATTTTTAGTTGGGTGAGACGTGATTCTTATCTCCCAGTGGGGTCTCAAAATTTAAAAGCTGTCGCTAAAGCTAAGTTGAGATATGATCCAGTGGAACTTGATCCAGAAGATATGTGCAGATTAGCATCGGAAGAACCTGAAATACTCGCAAATTATTCTGTCTCTGATGCAGTGGCGACATTTTATCTCTATCAAAAATATATTCATCCCTTCATATTTGCGTTATGCACTATTATCCCTATGAAACCTGATGAAGTAAGAAAAATATTTTATGTACATTAATTGATACACTTTTCTTTAAACGATAAGCTTCGTTTTGATTTTATTTGACTTATGTTTAGGTGCTCAGAAAAGGATCTGGTACA